CCATCTACTATCACTGAGCTTCGTCTCCCACCAGTCTTAGCAGTGAGCATCAACAAACCGCGATCACCCGAGCCTAGCAGCGTGTTGGAGTCCAACAAGGGCTGGTTCCTGTCCAGTTAGGAACGTCGCGTGGTTTTCATGCAGGAGACAGCAGGTATGATCTGTGTCTGCCGCTGTTCGGAGCCACGTGGAGTGTCGCTTTTCTAATCCGTGCCAGCTCTATTCTGCAGCAAGAAACTCCCGGCACCGCATGCGCTCGATGTCGGGGTTTGACTCCCAACGACGCTCGTCGATGTTTGTCTCATGACTGCGTTGTCCTGGTCCGTGTTGTGCTGCATATCAAAGAAGCAGGTGCGTCCCCAAACACATCCATGACGTGACTGGTTTGCAACGCACCCGTTATGACCAACCGTATGGAGAAATGGAGTGGGCTGGTGATGGTCCCCTGTTTTGCCATGATTTCTCGAGACCGCTCTCCCGTTTACCCCGTTCTGCTCTCCTGCCGCTCTACAACTACCAGCGGATGGGATCCTTCATCTGATACGTATGCACGACACCTCAAAGTTCTCATATTATCCGCCTGCTTTGCTTGTTCTCCCGCCGACGGAATGTTCTCGCACGCGTGTTGACACGTCTTACGGCGGATTACAAGATCCGATTTGCCGCGGTCGGCTATTTCCGGACACTGGGTGAGATCGAGTGTGGGGACGAGCAGGTTTTTTCGGCGATGATATCGGATTAGGAAGCTTCCGCTAGACCGGCGGTGCTTTGAAAAGTCATCGTACATCAACGGGTGGCGAGGATTTAGTGCTTCAATCTCCCTAAGCGGTTCGGGGGCTTAAAGGAAACGCTTCCTTCTGTTTCTTGTTCGCCGCCGTCCAGGCCCGGACAAAAAGAATGTTTTCCAGGGGCAGCCACATTTCTTTGTGGCCGGCTATTGAGACGAGCCCAGCGGCCGGAGATACCCGCTTTATTGGGGCGCGTGGAGAGGCCCGCGCGGTCTTCAGTGCTACTCAGCCTCTGAGTGGAAGCCGAGATCCTCCCCGTTAGCCTTGAGTGCGCTAATTTTGCTCCTTCGAGACCAACAAATCCGGAAAATAGTGGCGGTGCGCGATCGCGGCGTTTTTGTTTTTGTTCTTGCTTCCCCACGCACCAAAAACCGTTCTCATCTCTGAGTGTTGTCAGCCTCTGTTGAACACTGACAGAACCCACTTCCTGCAAACGGCGGGCTTCTGGACTAACCGATCAAACGCATCCCCACGCCATTTCGCTTGAACCTCAAAGCGAACCAGCCCGCGCCCTTCCGCGTCCGAACGTCTCAAGAATAGCAAGGACTGGGGGCTCACATCGACGACAGATAGCGCGAGGCACTGTAACAGGACCGGCAGAGGCTTCGGTGGGTGCATTCAGCCACCACCGTCAAACTCTGCTGTCTACGTCCTGGTCTTCGGACGACGTCTATACGCTTTCAGAGCAGCGTCTCCGAGCCTTATCTGCGGCCTGAACGTCGTCTCTCCAAGAATGCCCCTGGATACCCTCCTTGGACTCTGAGTCTGCGCGCAGACCGCCCTGCCCGCCCTCTCCACCCGGCTCGCTCGGACGCTGCGACTCATGTCAGACGCTCAGACTCCGGTACGGGCGCCATCCGGCCGCAGACGGGTCAGGCTCGCTCGGACGCTGGGACTCATGTCAGACGCTCAGACTCCGGTACGGACGCCACCCGGCCGCAGACGGGTCGGGCTCGCTCGGACGCTGGGACTCATGTCAGACGCTCAGACTCCGGTACGGACGCCACCCGGCCGCAGACGGGTCGGGCTCGCTCGGATGCTGGGACTCATGTCAGACGCTCAGACTCCGGTACGGGCGCCATCCGGCCGCAGACGGGTCGGGCTCGGCCAGGCACGACGACCAGGTCTTCGCATTTGTACGAGCTATGTTCATCAGTCGTATTTTGAGGGACTTGCATGTTATATAACGCATCAGTGAGCTTTGTTTATCTTGTCCAATTGCCGTTTGACAAGGTTCTCCCGTTGTCTCATTGTCGTCATGTCATCTGTTTTGAGTCTGCTTCGTCGTCCACATGTCCCACATTCTCAGCCCTCCAGCAGCACCTGTATAACTCATTTTATGCAGCCTATGCGGCTCAAACCCACCACCATCTCCGAACATCCTCCAAACCGCGTACCCGCATACGTTCCGCGCGGTCTCTGCACACGTCGTCTGTAAGGCATACCACCCGTTCCGGTCGTCGCCACCGATCTGACGCAGCTAAACCCAGCAACCGCCGCCCGCCACGGTCGCGACGGGCTGGCTGGATATCCGTGAAATGTCTGAAAGCGCCGCCGGCGGCTGCGGTATTTCACGCGGCGGCGCTGGTGCTTCCGCCCAGCGCCCGTTGCGAGTGGCAAGAGCGGAGCGGCGAGAGTGCCGGTGCTGGTGCGAAGGTGTTGATACTGGCGACGATCGGACAGGTCGGGCTCTCTGACAGTCAACTTTCATCGTCGCCTTTGTGGCTTTACGACGCACTCAGCTGCTGAGCCTATATGGTGTCGCTTGCTTCTCGCCCTGTCAGGAAGGGCACAGGCATCTCAGGGAATCGAACCCGCACCTCTGGTTTCCCAGACGCCCAATGGTTACCGCAGGCGCACCGCAACCGTCTACGCCGCCGTACCCGCAACCTCCAACTCATAAATTTATGGAAATGGACGAAACCGAAATACCTTTGAGATGAAATCGCTTACTCTCTTATCAAATATCGTAATATCATTTGGAATGTGGAGGTGACATCGAACGAAAACCGTCGGGCATCTTACTCTAATGGTTTAAACTGGTGTCCATTTCCTGAAATGTCCCTGAACTATTGGTGTAACTATCTGAGGTGCATTTTATGTCCAGGTAGCATGGCGAGGTTGGCACATCTTCACGTCCAGCCGAGGTGGCGGGCGAGTGTCAAGAGCCGTTTCCACCGATAAGATCGAGAGCCGATTTAGCTTCGGACATCGGTACCGGCAGGCGACGCCGATTGGCGCATCTGTCAGAGTCCGCGTCTGTCAGAGTCAGCGTCTGTCAGAGTCAACGTCTGTCAGAGTCCGCGTCTGTCAGAGTCCGCGTCTGTCAGAGTCCGCGTCTGTCAGAGTCCGCGTCTGTCAGAGTCAGCGTCTGTCAGAGTCAACGTCTGCCAGAGTCCGCGTCTGTCAGAGTCCGCGTCTGCCAGAGTCAGCGTCTGTCAGAGTCCGCGTCGCAGCACGCTGGCGTGCGAGGAGATGTGAGCTATCAGCTTGTGTGAAGCGAACGGGCGAGGGTAATAGCGTTGTAGTATGTCTGGCCTGCATCACGCACTGATAGAATCTGCATCTCGTACCGATATGATCTGCATTCTGTACTGACCTGAAACCTCATCTCCAAAAGTGTGTTGACTGCATGTTCGGAGGACACGAGCGGGGCTTCATCGGTCCCGCGGCCGCCCGGGATCGATGAATGCAAACAATAATCCGTAGCAACATGGTATGCGCTCCGTACTGATAAGAAACCCTCATCTCCCAATACTTGCCAGTTAAGTCCCTAAACCCGTCTTCCGATGCCCGTTCGTGTCCATCGCTGGTGGCCAGACATCGTTTTCCCCTTGCCGTAGTTTTCGTGAAGAGAAGCTGGTTGATAAAAGTTTATTTACAAAAACAAATAATTCGTCAGCTGGCGTTACATAAATAGGCATCAAATCAAGAACAACAGTGAAGTAGTACATCGCACTGGTCCACATCTCGACCTTCTTGGCACTCGTGACGTGGCTTTACAAACACATGTTCGGAATGTCGTCTACGGCCTCGGCGAGATTATGCAATTGCCGATGGCATATGTACAGCTAACTGCGCAGGCTGCTGACGGTTTGTTGCGGCAAGCTCATCGCTCGCTTTTCAGGCGGTGGTGAAATAACCTCGGAGAATTGTGCACCGAAATGGATATATGTAGTCTTAATGGCCTGTCTCCTGTCAGGCCTGCATTCTAAACCTAAAGGTAGTGATGGAGGTGGCAGAACACGGTCGGCCCTGGTACTACTTTGTAACAACATTCCTTGAGTTTATATAACGTGCGCATGCGGTATATACGTCAGTGTCGTAATGTCGTATCTACAGTATAACATGTAACATAACACAAAGCGGATCTTAATATTTTCAACATTACACAAAACAACACAACTGCCATCCGAACAAAAACATTGCGCAGATGGACCTTAAATAGCTGTTGCTAGCTGCCGTTTCCTTGTGTAAACGTGAGAAAGGGGAGCAAATATAAAAAAGAGGCAAGCATCGAAATAAAATCGCCTTGAAAAACGATATTTAGGTTATAATTTACACGCCAGCATAGCTCAGTGCAAGCCAGGTCGAATTTGCAAGGCATGCTAACAGAGCTCGAACGTTCACTCGATAAGTAACAACACGCGATTACATTACAAAGGCCACCCAACCACTTCAACAACCAATGTGCATGAAAATGAGAAACACGCAACAACCACGAGCAACAATGGCAAACGCGCGCCGCATTTGCATTCCGCAACCTCGCGAGACCCAGGGGGTGGACAACGTGCAGATAATATCGGTGTACCCCTGCGTCGGCGAGAGGGCACTGAAAGCGACGCCGGACACAAGCTCTCCCTCTCTCTCCCTTTCCTCAGCCTTCTGCCGAACCCAGCCGCTGCATCGTGGCGAGGTTCGTCCGCGCCCTGACCCGGGTAGCGCCGCTGAGCGGACACTGAGCCTGCCAGCGGGCGACCCACCCCCGGCCGGGCCTCGGACGTCGCTCAGACAAACCTCCTGAAGTACACCGGCTTCCGGGCGCTACTGCCGCGCATCACGTAGAAGCTGGACGGCTTGCCGTTGTACGCGTACTTGTACTTCTTCATGGCTGAAGGTGCCTTGTTGCCCTTGTAGTAGTCAGCATACTTGTGGCGCAGCCGCTGGGCGTGGTTCACCTTCGGCCGAGGCGTGGTGGTGGTGGTGCTGGTGCTGGTGGTGGTGGTGGCCTCGGTGGTCGTCGTCTCGTCCACCATGGGCGGCGTCACCCCCAGGTTGTAGTGGTAGAGCCGGTCCGGCTTCCCGTTGATGGTGAAGTCGAGCGGCACGCGTGCGAAGGAGGGCGCTGCCGTCGGCTTCGCGCCGCCGCCGCCGCCGCCGCGCACGTGGTTCAGGTAGTAGTACGGGCTGGGGGGCAGTCGGATGACGAACATGGGAGAGTTGCCAGGCGTCTTGAGGCTGCGGATACGCGGTGACGCCTCGTCCACCGTGCGCCCCAGTCCCAGCCGCTCGAACAGCTGCATGTTCTCGAAGTTGACGGCGCGGGACATGCCGCAGCACAGCGCCAGCAATGCGAACCTGCCGGCGGGGAGAGAAGGGTGTCAGGTGTTGTCCACA